AACCTATATTTCATAAGCCTTACATGACACCCTGAACCCAACTGAGACTGGGAAGCTCCACAAAGCCCTAAACCCCAAAGCCTAAACCCTGAGCCCGACCTGTGGAAAAGATCAGCGCCTAAACCATAAAACCCTAAAACGATGAACCCCAAAAGGGGGCCGTAAACCCTAAACCCTTAACCCTAAACAATGGACCCTATCAGCCCCCTTCACCTTGAACCCTAAACCCCTAAACCCTGCACCCTAAACTTGAAAACCCTAAACTCTAAGCTTTGGGAGGTTCTGGAACAGAAGGAGCTCCCTCAGCGCGCCGCGAGAGGTGTTCTCTTCTTTTTGTTTCGGGGTTTTAGGGTTTAGGGTTTAAGGTTTAGGGTTTAGGGTTTAAGGTTTAGGGTTTAGGGTTTAAGGTTTGGTTAAATGTTTAGGGTCTAAGAAAGGTTCCTTGAACGGAGCGATTCGGGTTCGGGGGTTGATTTATGGTTTAGGGTTTGGAGTTCTTGCTTTGGGAAAGATTTCCTGCGCGGGTTCCATTCTGGAGTGGAGGAAGATACTGAATCGGGGCTGTACATTCCAGAGTCTATACAAGCAGCCTTGATGATAGATGAATTGGCAAGGGAGAGAATACCAACAATTTTCCTGGATTGCTGTGTCCATGACGAGACGCTCGGCATGGAGCAGCTTCGAAATAGCGATCTATTCTCGCAACGCAAAACCCTCGACCCTAAACCGGCAGACATTTCCTTCGACATTTTTCTGCCAGTTGCACGGCCCCGGACACTCTCGTTTCCAAAGCCCCCATAACTTGAAACCTGAACCCATATAGCTGCGAAGCCCCACAGCCCCAACCCTGAACCCTAAAGGCCTAGAAGCCCTAAATCCCAAAACCCCACAGCCCCAAACCCTAAAGCCCTAAACCCCAAACCCTGAACCCTAAAGCCCAAACCCTGAAGCCTAAAGCCCTAAACCCTAAACCCTGAACCCTGAAGCCCTAAACCCTGAACCCTAAATTAAACCCTAAACCCCAAACCCCAAACCCAAAAACCCAAAGCCCTAGAAGCCCTAAAGCCCCCAGCCCCAGCCCAGCAGTTCGGAGCACCTCGGCCAGGTAGGTACCGAGACCCTACCCATAGGCCCCTAAGTAGTTCCTTTTTGGGTTTAGGGTTTAGGGGTTTAGGGGTTTAGGGTTTAGGGGTTTAGGGTTTAGGGTTAAACCCTACAAAATAGACCCTACCCATAGGCCCCTTATTTAGAATCCTGTAATCCCCAAAAAGGAACTACTTCGGGGGCCTATGGGTACCTATACCTGGAGCCCGAAGGACCTACCTTTTTAGGGTTCCTTATTATAGTTTCTTTACATAGAAGTCCTTAACAGGGTAGGTTCTTTGGGGTCTAGGTACCTATAGTGTCATACCCCGGGTTTAGGGGTTTAGGCGTTTAGGGGGTTTACAGCTTAAGGTTTAGGGTTTCGAAGTACCCAGACATTCCGAAATCCCTGAATCATTCAGGAACATGCCTTAAAATCATACTCGGGATCCTACTATACAGCTGTATACATATACATCTGTCTATATATATATATATGTATAATTATCCAAAATATGTATGTATATATATATATATAGAGAGAGAGATTAAAGGTATGCTAATTGAGGGATTTTGGAAGGTATGGGTACCTCGAGGGTCATCGATCAGATCCAAACCGGCTCCTAACCACAAAAGACGGTACCCTAAAGAAATGGTAGGGTATGACCTTCTAGGAGGAGAGTTGTACCTCTATTTCTTGTTACTTTAGCTTCTTGTTGCTTTTAGGATGCTAAACGTCAACAAAGTAGGCTACCCAACGAAAAGTAGTTTATGCGTTGTAGGGTTTAGGGAAAGGGTACCGCAGTTGTAGGGGAAAAGTACACTGTAGAGGGTACTAGAAGCCCTATATAGTTCCACAGTTTAAAATTTGGTTTCCCAGGATACTGGACAAGCAGGTTGCCGGTTTGACGCAGTAGCCCTTTCCTTTGTTGTATATGGTTCTGCCATAGGCCTGGCTCTAGATAAACTAGTTGAACAATGACGAAAGAGGAATCATTAGGGGAATCCGTCTATTGCGCTGCCATGCAGGGAAGCAAAAAGCCACATGAAACTACAGAAGATAGTCTGAAATCACACTACAGCGCATGGCATTCATATAACACACATACAAACTCATCGAGGGCATTGACCCCATGTCAGGTCCTTCAGCGAATGGCGGAGGCCCTTCCACTTTGAGCCCAGCAGAATAGTCCTGAAAGGTAAGGCTCTTGGGGTCCGGATTCTGTCTTTGCTTTAGGGTTTAGGGTTTAGGGTTAAGGGTTCTAGATGCCAGAGCTGAGCTGTTCTGCGGCACGCTCTGCAAGTTGATCTTGCTTAGTGCAGGTGCGGAGGACTTGACCACTGCGACTCCACGTCAGATGGTCGAGAAGTACTTCGTCCGCGATCCCACTGAAGTGCTTGTCAAAGACGAAGCACATAGTGGCTCGAAGATATCCAAACAGAATTGGCGCCTCGTATGGGTGTTGTCTTATTCTGGCAACATCGTTGCTGTTGTACAAGGAAGATGTTGATGGTACACCTTTTGCCGGAATGGGTGTTGGGCACCACGACGAAGGGCTCGAGACTCTCTATCGGCATCTCATTGCACTCCATCGCAACGCGGGGAATTTGACAACAGATGATGCGTCCAATTGGGACCTCACAAGGGCTTAGTGCGTTCGGGATGTCGAGTCCTGTGGTTTAGCTACCAAAGTTTGGACGGCTTTTCCCGTGCGATAATGCTGCCCCTAAACCCTAAACCTGAACCGTTTTACCTCTTCTCCAGAGGCTTTTACAATCTGGCAAACCTGGCGTAAGTCAGCTGAATTGAAAATTTCCGGTGCCCAGTAGTATCATTTTGTCTCTTCCCGTCTAGCCAAGTCCCACCTGTGACCCCAAACCCTACAAAATGGCAGGGTATGAGATATGACCCCTTAATCACACAGTAGAACCCTTAAAACGGTAGGTTTTTGGATCCCCAGGTATAGAAGAGGGCTCAAGGCTAGGAGAAAGTCACTTCGCTTGGAATGATTGACTAAGACCTCCCTGGACCCTGAAGAACCTGTCTTTTTCGGGCTCCTTGTTTATGATTCCCTTATATTTATAAATCGGTAGGTTCTTTGGGGACATACAATTGACCAAGAGCTCTACCGTAAACTCGAAATACGGTTGATGATATAAATCCTGCGTTACCCATAATAAGGAATATACTTAAAAAATACCATAATTGCCATAGTTTAGGGTCATTAAAGTAATGCAGGATTTTTATCATCAAGAGTATCACAAAAATCCTACATAAACCCTCAGCACTAAACTGCCCAATCCATGCCGCCCAACTCACCTCGGCCATCGCTTTCTCTACCCATGGCAAGGGTTAGGAGAACCGTTTACTTAGGGCCCCAACAATGACCTGAGCACAAGCATTCGGATATTCCTGCCTTATTGGGCTGCATTGTAAGGGGATGTGTGTGTGTGTATATATATATACATACACACCTAGGTATGAACATGCTCAGAGAAATATTCTCCTCTCTCTCTACATATATATATATATGTATTCATATCCCTGTCCTGATTTTTGTGGGTGTGCTTTTTCGGGACTTTACAGCGAGATTTCCAAAACTGTTGAGTTCAGCACTTCCTGGATGGATGGAAGTAGGCGTGAATGGTTTAGGGACGTTTTCTTTAGGGTTTATAGCGGTTTAGATGTATGGGGTTTGGCTTAGGGGTTAGGTATGTTTTCTCTAGTTTAGGGAGGCTTAGAGTTCAGGGATGTGTAGGGTTTAGGGTCTAGGGTTTAGGGGCGTGTTGTTTAGGGATCATAGGGATCATAGAGGTTTAGAGTTTAGGGATGTGTAGGGTTTAGGGTTTAGGAATCAGGCCATAGCTAGGCCTTCGAAGGGAAGTAGATGTGAGCGGTTTAGGGGTAGGGTTTACCCCGTAGCATCAAAATAGCCCAAAAGCCTTATATAATAGGGTCTTTGGGCCCAGAAGCCTTAAAATATGAGTCCTTTGATGCTAAGGGTTAGGGATCAGGAGCTAGGCCAAAAACCCGAGGGACTGAGCTTCCACGAGCCAATAAACGTTCAATAGACTCTACCTGGGTATCGGAAATAACCGCAGTTTTATGGGTTACAGTCTGAAAGAACGGGGGTGATGGCCTACTGTTTTTGTGTGGGGGTTTTCCGGATTACAGGTTCACCCTAAACCTCAACACTGGGGGCAGATGAATGCGAAGCCACATCACCAGGAGCTGTAGAAGGTCAAAGTTCCCAAAGAACCCAATACACCTTAATTAAGGAATACACCTTAAAATATAGGGTCCTTAATATTATTATTTAAGGGATATTTCTTAGTTAAGGCGTATTGGTTTCTCTGGGTTCCCAAAGTAGTCGGTTTCAGGGTTTATGGTTTAGGTAGTCTGTTTCAGGATTTATTGCTTAGGTTGCCAATACTATCATAAGGGTAGTTCGGTAAAGTAAGGGTCCCTGTTTGCGTCCCCGATAGAGTACGGCACCCCTATAAAAGGCCACGAAAAGGGACCCTGATTTGGAGAACTACCCATATGATGGTTCGTGGGTACCTAAAACCTTCCTAAACCCCTAAACCTTAAAGCTTGCGGCTTGGGTACTTTGACCCTTCGGGACTGGCAGACGCCCGACCCACGCCACAACGCCCAGCTGAATCCCCATAAGGTTCAAATGCCATGAGAGAAAGGTATATAAAGCCCCCTGCAGCACTTTTACGGGTCATTTGGTCATTAAGGCTGGCTCTGCCAGATGACCCTTGCTACCGAGTATCTCTGTTGATAAGCTGTCGAAAAAATGATGTTTCCAAGCTCTTCTTTCAAGTTGGCTGGGACTTAAGCCTGAACTCACTAATTTCAGAAGTCCCTCCTTATCTGTCCGCGGATACCCAGAACTAGTCCCTGTTGTCAGGAAATCCGCTGCGACTTGCTCAAAGCCGGGGCACTCCGCGTGTATCTGGGCTCTCGAATCCTATTCTTCAATTTTTTGGGGACCTGTTACCTCACGTTTAGCCATTATAAGCTAAAAGTGTATACATTTTTAAAATAAAGTGTATACATTTTAAGATAAATGTGTATAGAATGCAAGATAACAGTGTATACATTTCATTTTCTCCTTGCTTACTTCAAAGCCAAGGTATCTTTGGGTGCTCCTCTGCCAACTGTCAGGCCAGGGTTCGGGGCGGCCCGGTGGTCTCACTTACATGCAGAATAGAACATGTACACGCATCTACATATATATATACATATACACATATGTATACATATATGTATGCATATATGTATACATAGTTGCCCATATGTGTGTGCTAATGTGTTTGGCTGTCCATCTGCCTGTCTGTCTGTCTGTCTGTCTGTTTGTCTGTCTGTCTGTCTGTCTGTCTGACTGTCTGTCTGTCTGTCTGTCTCTGTATGCATGTGCCTGCCTGCCTGCCTGCCTGCCTGCCTGCCTGCCGCCTGGCCGTCTGTCTGTATGTAATGTATGTATCTCATGAATTAAGTATGTATGCATGTATGTATGTAAGTATGTATGTAAGTATGTATGTATGTTTGTTTGTTTGTATCTATGTCTGTCTGTCTGTCTGTATGTATGTACGTATGTATGTATGTATGTATGTATGTATGTATCCTCAGTCACTCTAGTGGCCGCTACCGTGGAATTCTCTCTTGTGTTGGATTTAGTGTGGATGTGCAACAGTCTTGTTGCGCCCAAGCCCGCAACATTCCATTTTCCGGCTGGCCTACCTTGAGAATCCTAAACCCTGAGCCCTAAACCCTTAACAATGCTGGTGCGAATTCCGGAGGCTAAGACAAGCGGACGGAAAGAGGTGCTCATCAAAAAAAACCCTTAACCCTAAACCCTAAGCCCTAAAGCCTTAACCCTAAACCTTAAGCCCTAAACCCTAAGCCCTAAAGCCTTAACTCTGAACCCCAAACATGCCGGCGATGCCTACGCTACGGGAGATGTGTGCAACTCAGATGTAGAGCTTCCGGCAACCTCCCCAGCTCGGGCTTTAGCCTAGAAAGTTTCGAGTGAAAGCCAGGAGAAGTGATTTCTGTGTGCCACAGGATTAAGGGCTTAAGGGCGGAAGGCTTTAGAGCGTCGAAGTGTAGCATTGTTTAAGTACGTATGGTGTAGGGTAGGCCCGAGATAAAAGCTCAAGCCACAAAGAAGAAGCAACATCCCGAAACAACGTATCCCACCCCCCCCCGGTCAGCCTCCACACAAATCATGATGAAGGTGTGGACACAGCAACCGCACAGCGGTTGTGGAGAGAGTGTTGGCAGCTACAGGTCTGCGGCAGGGTGGCGTCGTTTTGGAGATTCCAGTCTTTCACGTTCAGTGTGTAAGGCATAGGGAATGCTAATGCGATTGGGATTCGTAGGGTCGGAAAAGGGCTGTTATAAGAATTTACCGAGTTCTTCCTTGACAGGTTTTTAGGTAGGGTATTCAAGACCCTTGATTGAGTTTGATAAGACCACTGCCACGATTTCAATCCCTAAGCCACACCCGTAGTTTTGTGAATTTCGGTTGACATTCAGGATCAGCCTCAGGAGCTGGTCCAGGTGCGACCAACTACCTCAACCAAACCTTCCAAAGTCCTACAACTAAGGGAGATATTCATTTAAGGGCTCCTTAAAGGCATCGTTTAAAGGGATCTCCGGGGAACTAACGAATATACATTAACTCATCATGGGCCCTGCTACATCTTAAGGTATATTCCTGAAGTAAAGGATTTTTGAAGGCCTGGGAACCTTCGCGAAATCGCTTGCCAACCAACCGTCATAGCCTGAGGGTCCAAGTGCCGAATTTCCATATACCTACAAAACTACGATTACAAAACCGAGTGCCTAACTACTGCGTCCTTTGGACCCTTAGGGACATGGTTCGGGGCTTTGCTTGCGGCGTACGGGTTTCCAAAGCCCTTAAACCCCAAAAGGCCCCAAAAAGCCCTAAAGGCCCTAAAGGCCCTAAAGGCCGTAATCCCTAAACCCGAAACCACACAACCTCTACCGTCTGAGCCCGCATGGCATAGACCTATATATAAACCCTGAAACCCTAAAGCCGCAAAGTCCTTGTAACAGAACTCTTATACAACGCTTGAAGCCCCATAAAACCGGCTAGTGCCTGTTACAAGTAGTGCCCTTTATCAAAACCTTCAAAGCTCTTGCAAACCCTATAGATTCCTTGTCAAAGCTATGAAGTCCTAAACCCAAAACATCCCTGAACCCCATGAAGCCCTTGTCAAACCTATGAAGTCCTACACCCAAAACCCTAGACCCAAAACCCTAGACCCTAAACCCTAGACCCTAAACCCTAAACCCTAGACCCTAAACCCTAGAGCCTAAACCCTAAACCCTAGACCCTAAACCCTATGAAAACCCTAAACCCTAGAAGCCCTTAGCCCCTTAACCCTATCAAGACCTAAGCCCCTAAAATCTACGAAGCCCAAGCGTGAGGACGAGGAGGATCAGGAGGAGCCGGATGTCGAGGACGAGGAGGAAGCGGACTCCGAGGACGGGTTGAACCGTCGACCTTAGGGTTCTCTAGGGTTTCGGGTTTAGGGTTCAGGGTCTATGGTCTATGGTTTAGGGTTTTAGGGTTTTAGGGTCCATACGGTTTTCTGGTTTAGGGTGTTGAGGCTTGGAGTTTTGGGGTTTAGGGTTTAGGGTCTTGGGTTTATGGTTTAGGGTTCAGGGTCTAGCGTTTAGGGTTTAGAGTTTAGGATCCAAAATCATACCGTTTTAAGGGTTCTACCCTCTAGTTAAGGGCTCATAACCTACTATTTGTTAGGGTTTAGGGTTCCCTAGGGTTTAGGGTTTAGGGTCTATGGTTTAGGGTTTTGGGTTTGAGGGTCTAGGGGTATTTGGTTTAGGGTTTACGGGTTTAGGGTTTAGGGTTTAGGGTTGTAGGGCCTAGGGTTTAGGGTTTAGGGTTTTAGGGTCTAGGGTTTAGGGTTTAGGGTCTAGAGTCTATGGCTTGGGGCTTTAGGGTTTTAGGGTCTAGGGTTTGGGGTTTAGGGTTTCGGTTTTTAGGGTCTAGGGTTTCGGGTTCAGGGTCTGTGGTTTAGGGTTTTCGGGTACCTTCACCCACCTTTTCAAGGACTTCTATAAGGTAATCATCAACAGCCAGGCGTTCTTTGCGTTGAGCTGCTGAGCTTTCAGTGTTCAGGGTACGGGCGTTCGGGGTTTTGTGTCTTGGTCGTTGCGGCTATGGGGTCGTTTGTAGTATTTGTTTACTGTTTCTTGCTGCAGACCATGATATATACAAATATATATATATATAGATAGAGATATATATATATAAGAGGATTTCGGGCTGTCAAGTTTAGGTTTAGAGCTTCGTTCGACGGGAGGTACGAAGTGGGCTTCAACAACCAGGTGAGGCTATCCTGATCATAAGGTATATCGCCAACCAACCCTAAACCCTAAGCCGCAAGACTTTCCTTGCGGCGTAGACTTGGAGGGCCGGGAAGTCTAGCATCCGAAGGCGTGGCCGCATTAAATCGGAATTCCCCTGCAGCAAAAGGGCCCTGACTCGTAGAATCTGAATTTCACAAGGATCCCCCTTACGGAACCCTCAATGGAAAATTGCACCCTGGCCCTTAGCATCAAAATCGCCCAAAAGCCTTATATAATAGGGTCTTTGGGCCCAAAAGCCTTAAAAGATGAGTCCTTTGATGCTCCCCCTAAACCCTAAACCCTAAACCCTAAACCCCTAAGGGTGACACCTGCGAGGACGACATGCCCAAGACCACAGCCCCGGCCGAATTTCGCATGCCGGCCGCGAGCTCGAGACTCTCTGTCCAGGCTGTGTAGGGTTTAGGGTTTAGAGTTTAGGGTTTAGGGTTTAGGGGTTTAGAGTTTAGGGTTTACGGTTTAGGGGTTTAGGGTTTAGGGTTTGATTCTTTGTTCCTAGTCTCGTCTACTTAGTAGCTGAGTGGGTAACCTTTAACCTTTTTGGGCTTATAGAATCCTACCATACTTGAAGGGTCAACCTTTTTTAACCAGGGTACTCAGCCCGTAAGCGTCTAACTGACCCCCAAAAGCATTACCTGGTTTTTACGGAACAAGTACAATAATAAACATGCACACATCCTAAGGCCTATCCCCTAGCCCCTATGCCCTAAACCCAAAACCCCTGAAGCCCTAAACCCCTAAACCCGAGAAGCCCTAAACCTTGAAACTCTACACCTCAAACCTAAGCTTCCTTCCCCTTCATCCCCTAAACCCTAAACCCCTAAACCCTCAACCCTAAATCCCTAAAGCCTAAGCCCTGAACCCCTAAAGCCCAAACCTTCCTCCCCTTCATCCCCTAAACCCCTACAGCCTAAACCTTCCTCCCTTCATCCCCTAAACCCAAAACCCTAAACCCCTAAACCCTAAAACCTAAACCCCTAAAACCTAACCCCTAAAACGTAAACCTTCCTCCCCTTCATCCCCTAAACCCTAACCCCTAAACCCTAAACCCTAAACTGCCTAAACCCTAAACCTTCCTCCCCTTCATCCCCAGCCACGAGGTCGAAGCTGACTTCGCCCTTGGGGGGATGCGCTTGTCCAGCAGCTTCCTGCAGCGGTCTCATCGGGGCTTCTATAAGGGTTCAAGAAGGTTTAGGGCTTAGGGCTTCTGTAAGGGTTCAAGGATTAGGGTTTAGAGTTTAGGGCTTAGGACGGTTTGGGTTTCGGGTTTAGGGACGTGGCTGGAAAGAAAAGCTGCGATTTATGGTTGAGGGTAGCGCATCATGTCATACAACTGCCCCTAAACCCCAAACCCCAACTTGAGCAGCGACCAACGCCCACCAATGGGACGAATTGGACCGTGATTAGCCTTACGGCTAAGCAGAATGACCGGTGCCATCGAATTTGCAGAAGGATACATCAATCCGCTAGAGTCCCTCCACAACATGTTTTGTGCATTCGGACCCTGCAACCAACAATAATTTGCACTGGGTTTCTATGGATGTATAGACACTCTAGATCTTCGCTCTGAATAACTTCCTGTAGGCAGAGCGTCACCACTCTCGCCACGGCAGAGCGCCGCCGCTTGATCTTTGGGCCCCTTGGCTGATTGAAGGATCAGAGGCATGTGGGCTTTTGTAACGAGGCAAAAAAAGGTCTCAGATCTTTTGTAGGCCTATGGTTTCTGCAATTACGACCTGAGGACTTGCAGCTTACTAATTGGCCCGTGCAGCGTTCCAGCAGTTAAGCACAAACCTTTTAGAGTTTAGTGTTGAGGGGTTTAGGGGTTTAGGGTTTAGGGTGTTCTAGTTGCCGCTACCATTATAATTCCCATAGTTTAGGGTCCATAAGGTAATGCAGGATTTATATCATCAACCGTATTTGGGTACATGGACCCTTAGGGTTCTTCATGTAGTTTGAGCCTTGGGGGTAGGGTGAACCCGAAACTCCTAATCATGCTTGGCTAAGGAGCTTTCCCGAAAAGCCTGAAACCCTAAACCCCAAACCCTAAACCTTAAACCCTAAACCTGAAACCGGCGCATCGATAGCAGCTCCGGTTCTGTCGGCGTGAGCTTCCTAGAGTTCTGAGGCCCAGAGAACCCAATACACCTTAATTCAGGAATATACCTTAAGTTATAGCGACCTTACTATCATGATTTAAGGTATATTCCTTAATTAGGGGGCATCGGGTTCTCTGGAGGCTCCAACATCCCTTCGTCAAGGAGCATACCTTAAACTACAGGACTCCGTAATATAAGATGAACATACCTTAAACCATAAATAGGATTCCTTAATATGATTTAAGGGAAACTCTTTCATTAAGGGTTTTGGAAGCTCTAGGTACTCAGACCTTTCGTCCTAAACCACAGGCGTCTGGGGGGATTTGGGGGGATTTGAAGGAACCATCCCAAAATCATGCGTCCGAAAAAAAAAAACATACATTAGATTATAGAGGACGCCCCAGAACAGACCCGCGTCCTGAGTTCCTTATGAGGGTCACACGGTAAAAGACAGCGCTACATTATTCCAGTGGCCTATAGTAGCCGGCACACCCTCAACCCAGAAGTAAGCAACACGCGCCTGGTCTCCTGCTGCGCAGCTGCCTTCTGACCAGGTCGGATATCCTATGCACGTGAGAGAGCTTCCCAATCCAAGTTTCCATCCAAGGAGGGGTACTGACCTTTTAGTCCAGGACATTGTGGGTAGTTACCCTTATAGGAGCCTTATAGAAGGTCTATATACCTTGTAGAAGCCTTATAGAAGCCCTATATACCCTAAACTCCCCACCTGTAGCTTCCTTTAATTTAGGAAGGTCGGACTGGGTTTTGTTGGGGTTGGTGGAGCTTCGGGTGTCGGATGGCGGGCTGGTGGTATCCCAGGATAGGGTTTAGGGTTTAGGGTTTAGGGCAGCAATCTAACGCGACACAATGCTGTAAGAGACTTGATTATACTGTAGCGTGGTCTCGCTATTGAGGTTCAGATAGTACGGATGGCTGAGGCGAAGTCGCGTGTAGAGATCTGGCTACCGGGCTTAAGCGCAGTTGTAGGCCTTCGAACTTATGAATAAGTAGTTTACATATGACCTCTTCGTTATAGGTCATAACCGTCAAGCCTTGCAGGTAGAATTCTATGTGAAGTACTACTAAAAGGGCGTTTATAGAAAAAGTAGGGCCTCTAATACATTAAGAGCACTATGGGTCTTGGTGGGTGTTTATGTATGTGCGGCTCGGCCATGTTTGTTTGTTCTGCATGCGTTTGGGGAAAACTAGTACAAGTACTGAAAGCCTTACATCGACGTTGATTCCCCTCCTTTGAATTTCACTTCTATAGCTAAGCTGACGGCGGACTCTGACGGCAGATGGGAAGGTCGTGTTCAAGAGCACGCTTTGCACGTTGTGTCCTGCAACGGCAACTACATCTTTCCTTGAACTATTCCAGGAGCTGGAAACCACATTCTGTGTGATCACCTGTACGAGTCCATGGTAGGGCTTTCCTATAGGCTCCATATCGGTTCCTGTTTGTACTTTTAGGATCCTGTAAGTTAGTCCCAAAAAGTTTTTTGAAGGGAACTACAATGGAGCCCCAGAAATTGAACCCCAACGCCCTCAACTCTTGCAGGAAGCCTTATACATGCCCGGTAATAAAGTTTCGTCGCATCCGCTAGAATCACTAAACGGAGTACGCGGAGTACAGGAAGTGAGCAATACCCTAGCCTGGCTAGCGGAGGAATTAACGTCCCGTAATGAAATTATAATATTATAATTGTTCCGGGCGGAGGACTTGTGGAGGAGTCTAGGGGGAAAGGGGTCCTGGACAGGTCCGTTGCA